ATCTTAGAGAGCAAGGCTACACTGTTCACGAAAAGTGGGAATGCGAATGGCGAAGAAAGAAAAAGCAGAATCCTTTGATTACTCAGTTCCTTGCAAGCCAGGTCGTTCGGCCATTAGATCATTACCTCACACTCAATCCAATTCTAATTGTAGAAGCTATTAAGAATGGTCAGCTTTTTGGAGTGATTGAATGTGACATCCAAGTACCTGAGGCCTTGAAACCCAAGTTTTCAGAGATTTGCCCCATATTTAAGAATGTTAATATTTCCAGAGAGGATATTGGCGAGTTTATGCAGACCTTTGCTGAAGAACATAACCTGATGCCTCAACCGAGAAGAAGTCTCATTGGAAGCTATTTTGGTACTAAAATCCTGMTTGCYACTCCTCTGGTYCAATGGTACCTCGAGCATGGTTTGGAAATCACGAGAATCTACCAAGTTGTTGAATATACTCCCAAAGCTTGTTTCCAACCTTTTGGTGAAGCTGTATCCAATGCCAGAAGAACTGGAGATGCTGACCCATTATCGCCGATACCATGAAACTGGTGGGGAATTCCAGTTACGGCAAGACCATTACCGATCAAGAACGCCATCGTGAAATCAAGTTTTGTGAAGAAACCAAAGCCTCGCAGCTGGKGAATTCTCTWTTTTCCGTACCTTGGATGCCATTGATGAGAATAACTATGAAGTTCAGTCCTGCAAGAAATCCATCTCGTTGAATCTTCCTCTACAAATAGGTTATTTTGTCTATCAGTACGCCAAACTTAGAATGCTCCAGTTCTATTACGATTTTTTAGATAMATTTCTAGATCGCTCTGACTTTGCCTATTATGAAATGGATACAGATTCTKCCTATATTGCCATATCAGGAGAAAAGGTAGAAGATTTAGTGAGGCCTGAATTGAAGGAAGTGTTTGAGCAGGAGAAGCATCAGTGGTTCCCTAGAACCGATACTCCAGAGAACAAAGCGTATGACAAGAGAACGCCAGGTTTATTTAAGGAAGAGTGGAGTGGTGATGGTATTATAGGGTTATGTTCGAAAACGTATTATTGTTTTGGTATCAGCGATAAATTTAGCTGCAAAGGCATCAACAAACGATGCAATGATATTGACAAGGATAAGTTTTTACAGGTTTTACGCACACGTCAAAGTGCCACTAGGCTCAATAAAGGTTTTCGTGTAGTCAATCATAGCATGTACAGACATTACCTTACATTCTGTTTGAAAAGTTGTTAAAAATGGTAACTAGAAAATTTTAATTTTTGCTTAATAAGAAGTTTTAATTGCTTCGATGCACTCAGACTCGATTTCATGTTATGCATCGAAAATCAGTACGATTTCGTATTTGTCCACTCATGTTTTTCTGCTTACTAGTTAAATATGTTTATTGTCTGTCAAGTCGATGTGGCGTTGATGCCAGTTCGATGTCATGTCGATGTCATGTTGATGTCATGTTGATGTCAGGTCGATGTCAGGTCGATGTCATGTCGATGTCATGCCGATGTCAGGTCGATGTCAGGTCGATGTCATGTCGATGTCATGCCGATGTCAGGTCGATGTCAGGTCGATGTCATGTCGATGTCATGTCGATGTCAGGTCGATGTCAGGTTGATGTCATGTTGATGTCATGTCGATGTCATGCCGATGTCAGGTCGACCACAATTCCCACAGTCCCACTATATACCCACTTTACCCACAGTCCCACAGTCCCATAATGCCCACAGTCCCACAGAAGGCACCTGCGGCCTTTCTCCTCGATATGGTTCTCCCCCTCCTCTCCTCCTCTAAGGTTAATTCGGTACACACTACTTAGGACAGACCGATGAAATGACGAATCGCTCGCGCACGGAGCCGGCGCGCGCCAGAAACGATTGTGTTTTGACAGTTTACTTCGTTTTCGGCTTTGTTATGCTACGCCATAGGCCACCCAACTATTGCTTGAGAGAAAGAAAAGAATAAATGCGCACGCTTTTGTTATCGGCGCGCTCTCTTAGCAAAATGTGGGTTACCTGTGGTATTACGTCATTGATCCCTTTTGCGAGATCGCGGGATCAAAAACTAGTCTGTGACCAGTGTTTCATAACTTGTCACAGACTAGTTTTTGAT